GACAGGTGTTGGGGGGAGCAGGCTGACAGGTATAGGGGAGTAGCTTTGTGTAAAGTTAGAGAACGACTGACAGGATGGTCTTGTAGAGCAATATTGTATATAGATCTGACCCAAATAGAGGTTGGAGATATACAGAGATGTTGGCAAGGCAGGAGATGCTGAGGTCAGGTTGGGGAGGGTGGCAGGAGATGATGTGGTCAGGTTGGGGACATGGCGGGAGATGATGTGGTCAGGTTGGGGAGGATAGCAGGAGATGTGGGTCAGGTTGTGGAGCATTGAGGGAGGTGCTGTGTGTCAGGTTGGGGAGCATAGCAGGAGATGTTGTGGTCAGGTTGGGGAGCATGGCGGGAGATGCTGTGGGTCAGGTTGGGGAGGGTGGCAGGAGATGTGGGTCAGGTTTGGGAGCATTGCAGGAGATGCTGTGGGTCACGTTAGGGAGCATGGCAGAAATATGATGTGGTCAGGTTTGGGTGCATGGCGGGAGATGATATGGTCAGGTTGGGGAGCATGGTGGGAGATGCTGTAGGTCAGGTTGGGGAGCATGGTGGGTGATGCTGTGGGTCAAGTTGGGGAGCATGGTGGGAGATTTTGTGGGTCAGGTTTGGGTGCATGGCAGGAGATGTTGTGGTCAGGGCTGTAGTTACCACAAGGCAAACAAGGGGGCACTTTCAGGGGGGAGGCAAAAACACCACCCCAAGCACTCAGGCAAATGCCTTGTTTCCTGGTGGGCCCAAGAGCTGGCTGGCTACCCTAGCCCCCCTCCCTTGGTGTTAAACTACTAATATTCTATCCGTTGTCCTCCACTCTTCTTGCTCCCTTGGGGGGAGCAGGCTGGCAGGAGCTGGGGAGCAGGCTGGCAGGAGCTGGGGAGCAGGCTGATAGGTGGGGGGGAGCAGGCTGGCAAGTGTTGGGGAGAGCAGGTTGACAGGTGTTGGGGGAAGCAGGCTGACAGGAGTTGGGGGGGAGCAGGCTGACAGGAGTTGGGGGGGGGGAGCAGGCTGGCAGGAATAGTGGAGCAGGCTGGCAGCTAACAGGGGAGTAGCTTTGTGTAAAGTTAGAGAACGACTGACAGGATGGTCTTGTAGAGCAATATTGTATATAGATCTGACCCAAATAAAGGGTGGAGATATACAGAGATGTTGTAGAGATGGTCAGGTTGGGGAGGATTGCGGGAGATGATGTGGTCAGGTTGGGGAGCATGGCGGGAGATGATGTGGTCAGGTTGGGGAGCATGGCGGGAGATGATGTGGTCAGGTTGGGGAGCATGGCGTGAGATGATGTGGTCAGGTTGGGGAGCATTGCGGGAGATGATGTGGTCAGGTTGGGGAGCATTGCGGGAGATGATGTGGTCAGGTTGGGGAGCATGGCGGGAGATGATGTGGTCAGGTTGGGGAGGATAGCAGGAGATGTGGGTCAGGTTGTGGAGCATTGAGGGAGGTGCTGTGTGTCAGGTTGGGGAGCATGGGGGGAGATGCTGTGGGTCCGGTTCGAGAGCATAGCAGGAGATGTTGTCGTCAGGTTGGGGAGCATGGTGGGAGATGCTGTGGGTCAGGTTGGGGAGTATGACGGGAGATGATGTGGTCAGGTTGGGGAGCATGGCGGGAGATGCTGTGGGTCACGTTAGGGAACATGGCAGAAAGATGATGTTGGTCAGGTTTGGGTGTATGGTGGGAGATGATGTGATCAGGTTGGGGAGCATGGTGGGAGATTTTGTGGGTCAGGTTTGGGTGCGTGGCGGGAGATGTTGTGGTCAGGGCTATATTTACCACACTCCCCCACTTTCGGGGGGGAGGCAAAAACACCACCCCAAGAACCCAGGCAAATGCCTTGTTTGCCTTGTGTCCTGGTGGGCCCAAGAGCTGGCTGGCTGGCTACCCTAGCCCCCCTCCCTTGGTGTTAAACTACTAATATTCTATCCGGTGTCCTCTGCTGTTCTTCCTCCCTTGTGCTCCCTTCTGTGATGCCGGAAGCCAGAATATGATGTCACACTGGTTCCGGCATCACTAAGCGATGCAGAAGGAGCTGAGCAATAAGAGCTCAGTTCCCTCGCCGCCCACATTGAGCGCCAGCAGCCCCAGCAGAGCTAGCCCAGCCAGCAGTTCCATTAGAGCCAGCAGCCCCAGCAGAGCCAGCCTAGTCAGCAGGAGCCAACAAGTAGCCTGCCGAGCCAGCCCAGCAAATGTCAGGGACATCATCCAAAGTTAGGGAGGCTGGGTGGATTTAAATTTAAAAAAAATATTAATAATTTGTGATTGCAATGAGTGTATGAGAAAATGTGTGTGTGTCTGTGTCTGTCAGTGAGTGTGTTTGTGTCTGTCAGTAAGTGTGAGTGTATGTCTGTGAGTGAGTGCATGTAGTGGTCAGTGTGTGTCTAAGTGCGTGAGTGAATGTGTGTGTCTGTCAGTGTATGTGTATCTGAGAGTATGCGTCTGTCAGTGAGTGGGTGTGTCAGTGTGTGTCTCTGAAAGTGTGTGTTGGTGAAACAGTGTGTGTGCCAATGACTGTGTGTGTCAGTGAGTGTATATCAGTGCATGTATCAATGAGGGGGGGTGTCTGTCAGTCAAAAAAGTGGCCCTGACATAAATTGGTGAGGCAAATTTAGTCGTGCTTAGGGCAGCACAATCCCAAAATACACCACTGGTTGTGGTTCAGGTTGGGGAGCATGGCGGGAGATGTGGGTCAGGTTAGGGAGAATGGCGGGAGATGATGTGGGTCAGATTGTGGAGCATGGCGGGAGATGATGTGGGTCAGGTTAGGGAGAATAGTGGGAGATGATGATGTGGTCAGGTTGGGGAGCATGGTGGGAGATGCTGTGGGTCATAATGGGGAGTATGATGGGAGAGGATGTGGTCAGGTTCGGGAGAATACTGGGAGATGATGTGGTCAGGTTGGGTAGCAGACTGAGAGATGCGGGGCTTTGCTGTGGTGCAGGCAGGCAGGCGTTGCAGAGCTGGGTGCAGGCATGTTGGGCAGTGGTGGGGTTCAAGAGATGGGGTTCAATCAGGCTGGGAGGTCTTGGGGAGAAGACAGACTGGGTAGTGCTGAGTAGCAGGCAGGCTCACAGATGCTAGGAGCAGGCGGACAGCAGGAGGGAGGTGTATAAGATGTGAAGGTCACCTAGAGACAGAGGAGGGAACGTCAATAGAAGAGCATCTGGTTGCATTGTGTTACTATGTTTTGTTAAGTAGGTCTGCATCTTATTAAGCTGTGTTTTCTGTACGCTGCTCTGCATTTCATTAAGTTGTGCTCCTTCTCTTGTGCTGCTCGACCCCCCCACCCCCCTCTGTACCACACTGTGTTATTTTTACACCGTTCAAAACAAATTCATAAATTTCCCATAAGGACTGCAAGTCCAGCCCAAAGAGCTTACAATCAATCAACGTACACAGTGGTAGCAGCAGATATATAACCATTGTGTCTTTGTCTGTGAGACGAGATGCTATTAGGAGATTGTGACATGGCCATCTGCGCCCCCTCCAAACAATTGCAGTGCTTACCCCTAGATTCCAGACTGCAGGTCCTTCACTTTAGTATGAATGAAAGCTCCTGACCTTGTGATTTAAAGGGGGATTGTCACTTTGCAGGATATGTGATATTATGTTTACTTATCCCTATATTTAACCAATATTTATTTGCAAAGTGTGGAAAATTTAAATTAAATGTGGGAATTTACACTGATTTATCCTGCAAATGGACGCCTCCATCTTAGCTCCCCGTCAATCATTGTTACAATGTCTGCTCCTTGCACCTGGCAGTCAGCATCGGGAAAGCATACAGAGAAGAGAAGAATTGCATTGTGTTATCCTTTGTAAAATCTTTCATCTAAATCTGAAATAAAATGGAACTTTACAGCGTCAGCTGAGCGCTCTCAGCCAATGAGCATGGTGATTATGCAGTCAGGCTTCGCTCAGTGGCAATAGCTTCCACCAGCAGTAGGGGAAGGTGGTGGCAGGGACCTGGCAAGATCCAGGTAAGTTGGCAAACTATTCTTAAATGGTATGATTACTTGCTTCACAAGGGTGCCATGGCACGCTTGGCACCATAACCACTACAGGGTAAAAACCTGCCTGGAAAAACATAAATGGGGCAGCTGTCTGTCAGAGTGTGCTTGTAAGTATGTCTGTCAGTAAATGTGTGTGTGTCATTATGGCTGTCTGTGTGTGTGTCATTATCTCCATGTGTTTGTGTGTGTGTGAGTGTGCGCATCTGTATCAGTATGTGTGTATGCGTCATTGAATGTGTCAGCATGTCTTTCAGTATTTCTGTGTGTGTTAGTATATGTCTGTCTATATAAATATGTCTGTCAGCGTATATCTGTGTGTGCCAGCATATCTATCACTATATGTGACTGTATCTGTGTGTGTATGTGTCAGTGTGTATATATGTATGTGTATCTGTGTACCTGCAAGTGTATGTGTGTATGTGTATCTGCATGTATCATGATGTGTATCTGTGTGTCTGTATGTTATGTTATCAGTATGTGTATCTGTGTGTGTGTTAGGGATCGACCGATTATCGGTTTTACCGATATTATCGGCCGATATTCTGTATTTTTGGCAATATTGGTATCGGCTAATATAGATACCGATATTGCCGACAATACATGCCATGACCGCCGGGCTCATTGCAAGCCCAGTTGTCCTGGGGCTGCAGCTGTTACTTACCTTCCCAGCAGCTCCATTCAGCTCCACTGTGTAAATCTCGCGAGTCCTGCGGCCGTCAGAGCATTGCCACGGGTTATAATGGCAACGCTCCGCGCGGCATGCAGACTCCGAGATTTACACAGGGGAGCTGGAGGAGCTGCTTGCTCCGGGCCCCCCCACTACTCAGCCAATGCCATAGCCCCCTTACCAGGCAAGATAACAAGCAGGGAGGGGGGACAAAAAATAATAATAATAAAACCTATAAATGTTAAATATTAAAAATAAAATTAAAATTAAAAAATGCCCC